GACCTCCTGAGTTCCTCTTGTAGCTTTTCTAAGAGTCTCAGCTGGTGTCCCTGGCCTCTCTAAATGCCCAATTTCTGTCGTCTCACACTCAATATTCATTCTGCTTGTGGTAACAGTAATGAGGTCAGCCAGGGGTCCTCACAGATTATGAGTTCCTCGATTGGGGTTGTTAACCTGGTTCAATTAGGGAGCACTAGCTGACAGATAAGAACAGGAGCATCAACATCCTGTTCACTCTGAGATCTGCCTCTGAGGGAGCTGGATCAGTATCAAGTACTCTCCACATGTAAATAAAGGGTGAGTTGGTAACAGAATAGTGGAGTTGTTTCACCGTTGTAACCTCCAAATTATTTGTCTTCCTGCTGTCAATCTCTAAACAAACCATGTCCTGTCTTTGTACAGCGAGAGAGAGCAATGGAGGTGGAAATCAGAAAGCAATTCAAAGGGCTGGTGGGAGAATTTCTCTCCACTTTTCTTAATCAGCAAGAGAGGGGAGTGAAGTAAGAACAATTAAAGAGGGAGTAAGTTGCATTTGGTATGTTATGCAGAAGCTATTCTTCATTTGCTAAAGATGAAGGTTCATTCAATCTGAATGAAAAGGTTTTAGAAAAGCTGTCAGATGAATTGAACTATCACATCAGCATCGATTGCACAGACACAGAAGATGGTAACAGTTCTTACACAGTCTAACTCTGATGGGAAGGTCACCACACAAACCCACAGAATGAGTAGATATAACATTGCCTACGGAAGCTCGAATTTTAAGCAAGGACTTTTGTTGTGAAACAAGGCTGGTTGTGAGTAAGCCATTTCCTTGGATAAAATGGCAGATTTCAAGGAAGTAGAACATCAAAATAGCTGCCAATGGGCAGCTTTATGTGTTTTGTTTTTTACAGTGGGAAGCTTTGACTTTGTTTGAAGTCCTCAGTAAAAGAATAGCCAGAAACCCTGAACTTAAAGAAGTCTTGTTACAATAAATATACAAATATATAAATTGGGCTGCAAATGTTTTGTAGGTTCCTGGCAACATATGTATCTTAATTTGCCATTCTAGGTACATCACTGTGTTGTGTGACACAACTTGGGTTTTAAAGTAACCTGGGACATTTATAGTTTACAGCCTTTGAATGCTTTGAGGAATGAGTGCTTCTTAGCCCATGCTGTCAGAAGAATTGAAACTATAACTGGCTGAGAAGCAGGGCTCTCAACTATATCTCTAGCCAGGCTGGTGGATGCACTCTGCTTTTCCCACTCTTAACCACTGCCTTTCAAGCAACCTCTACGATGCACAATGTTCAGTACTTCTCTTAACTTCTTACACACTGAAGCAGACTATGCATGTATGCAGCAAGACCTAGGCAACGTTCCGTCCCAGTCTGAGAAGTGACAACTAGCACCACATGTTCACGTGTCCAAAAGAGAGCATGTATCTTTCATTAACATTTGTTGGTATTATCATTGCTAAATTTCCCATTATCCATATTTCTGGGGGTCACCATTGACCTGAAACTGAACCACAGCAGCCATATAGCCATATAAACACTGTGGCTACAAGAGAAGGTGCAAACTTTGCAACGGGTAGCTTACCTGCTGACTCCCCAAAGCCTGTCCATCATTGACAAGCCTAAGGCATGAGTACCTGCCTGGATGAATGCAGTTCCACAAACACTCAAGAAGCTTAACACCAATCAGGACAAAACAGCTCACTTGATCAGCATCCTACCCACAATCTTAAATATTCACTCCCTACTCCAACAGTGAACAGTAGCAGCAATGTGTACCTTGCACTTTAACAACTCACATTTCAGACTTCCTATTTCTCACTCCTGTCGGGCAAAGCCCTTTACTGGGTTCAGGTCTTTGGAGGAACGGGGTAGGATCAAAATGTTTCAGTTCATGGACAGACAGAAGATAAGGACCCAATATGCTGGTGACTCACTGCAGTCGCAATGTCTTGTGTCTTGAAAAATGGGAAAATGGCAAGCTCAGGAAACCAGAAACAAACGCTGAAACTGCTGAAGGAACACTGATCTAACAGAAAAAAGGCAGCTTCATGCTTTGTACATGGACCGTTCAAAACCAGAGCAGCACTTAGAAGAAGCAACTGATTCTGTGGAGAAAGAGAGAGAGAGAAACAGAGTTAACGTTTCAGGTCTGTGACCTTGCATCAGAATTGGGAAAAGTTAGAAATGTAATGTAATAGGCTTCGAGCAGGTGATAGGGTAGAGGGTGAAGAGATTACATGATAACAGGTCATGGGACAGGTAAAGAAACAAAAGATGTACCTAGAGGAGGTGTGAGTGACAAAATAGCTACTGTTTGAGTGCTAGAGAGATCTTTCACAAAAATGCACACCAGGAAATAGACATGAAATGGAATGGGTGCAAAAGTTCTGATCTAAAATGAATGAACTTCATATTGACTCCAGGACACTGTTAAGTGTCTGGTTGAAAGGTAGTCGATGTGTGATTTTGCTGGTAAAGGCTCCAGGAGCCCAATGTTGTAGTTTGGGGTTCTTTGACATTGGAGAGTGAAGCAGTTCTGTCCATTGACATTGATGGGAGCCACAGTAACCTCCATTATGTAATAATGGCACTGTCTAGGGCATTGTTACTCAACAGCATTCTTTGTGACAAAGAGTGGGGAAGGAATCAGGGCAATCAGTTCTGGAATCTGTAATTAACAACAGTAGGCATTGATGCCCAATCTGATGGAGGCATCAACAAGGAAGAGCTCAACAGAAAAAGTGCTCAGAAAGAAAGTGTGAATGATCAGATAGACTCAATCGAGTAGCTGGCTGGATACGGGATTAATAGCATACCCTGGCAGTAAACCAGCTGGCATCTCACACAGAGTGGCACTAAGGGGAAATTAAAATAGAATAGCGACAAGTGGTTAGGAAGTATGGATGAAGAACTGGCTTCATGTTGGCAAGCAGCATTAATGAAACATCAACACTATATACTGCCTGAGCCAGGGAACTGGCCAAGCCAGAACTGTGCGAATCAATGATGTGCCTGTGGTTCAAAGTCATCGATCTGATTGTCTGTTTGTGTCAGGTCTCTGGGGTGCAGAATGATGGATGAATGATTCCTGGCTATGTCTGAATGAGAGATTGACTGGCCGAGAGTACCTCTGTTGATGTGATCATCCAGACGGAAAAGGCAAGAATGAGCTTTTCCTTTCTAAGGCACATTTCACTGCCTCTACGGCCTGAAGCACTTTGCAGCCATTGAGGAACTCTTAAAATTGTCACTTTAAAGTGTCCATTGTTGTAATGTAGGAAACCCTGCAGCCAATTTGCACACAGCAAGCTCCCACAAACAGCGATGCAATAATGACCAGACAACCTGTTGTCAATGATTTTGATGGAGGGGTTAATATTAACCAGGTCATTGGACTAACACCCCCTCTGCCCTGCAAACTCCTGCTGTTCTTTGAAACAGTACCATGAGATCTTTTAAATTGGCAGAGGAGTCCTTGGGTTAATATCTCACCTGAAAGACAGCATCTCGGACAAGCCAAATAGCTTTTGCCTTTTGGTTTTGCCTGTGTCAGGTACCAGTTGCAGCTCCAGAAACAGTAGGTTTGTCTCAAGAGTCACGAGGTTGGGCATTCAAACTGCACTCAAATAAACAGTTGTGCACAAAAATAAAAACTGAAATAACTGCAGATGCTGGAAATCAGAAACAGAAACAGAAATTGCTGGAAAAGCTCAGCAGGTCTGGCAGCATCTGTGGAGAAAATTCAGAGTTAACGTTTCAGGTCCAGTGATCCTTTCCCAGAACTGTGCACATGACGTAGGCTGATTCTCAAGTGTACTACTGAGGGAGGACTGCGCTATCAAAGATTCTGTCATGATATGGCATTGTTTGTTGAAATGTTAAATTTGACAACCCTATCGGCCCTCACTAGTAGATACAGCACCTCTAGACTTGATTGCACTATCTCATCAAAGAACAGGGGAGTTCTCCCTGGTGTCCCTGCCCTATATTTATCAATTAACATAACTAAAACAAATTATGTGGTTAGTATTATAGTGTGGAAGCATGTCATCATGTGAAACAACTGCCTGTTCAGACCTCTGGACCACCGCTCAGCTCTGGAATCTTCTTGTCAGCACTTTCTCCAAGATGAGTACATTCATGCAGTTACGTGGACACAGAGCACTCAACAAGATTCGTGCATCGTCACAGGGTCCTGATGTGCCATTTATTACTCTGTATCGCAGACTAGGGGCAGCGATTTCCTCCTCATTTCCAAAAGCTAGATCTTTCCAAGTCAGAATGAGGAAAGGGTAACAAAAAAGAGACTCTTTGTTTTCCACAATCAGCACCCATTTGCTTCTCTGAATTAATCTCTGCACTCCCATATAAATCTGAGGTTTCCTCATTGTTCTTGGAGGCTGGCAGAACTTGGGAAAGATTTCAAGATTTAAAAGCAAGAGAGACTCTGATTGTGAGTTAATTGTGAGTAAACAGGCAGAAAGGTTTTGAAATACACAGGTCTGTGACAGCCCTCCAAACAACTGCAAATCTTCAGCTGCTTCCTCACGTTCAAAAAGCTCTCACTTGGAAAAACGCTATTTTGAAAGGTTTACAAGGAAAGGGGGTGGGGTGGAGGTGGGAATCTTGTAGGCAGGAGTGTAGCTAATTGGATATTCCTTCAATGAGCCAGCAGGAGGAGCCAAATGGCTTCCCTCAACCTGATTCCATGAGTGTTTCATGTGCATTTGTGTCCAAATGCTTTCTGCTGACTCAGTCAGAAGTATATCACGAATAGCCTGTGCTCAGAGTGGTAAGAAAGCCTTGCTATCATACACTCTGCTGCTCCTTTCACCAGATCCTGGCAGAATGGCTGGTGAGTCAGAGCCTGTGGATAGATGCCCTGCAGCTGCATGCTGGTGAGTGCAGCATGCCTAAACAACCCAGAGAGCGCTGGGCTTGTACAGACCTGTGCATGACTTGATTACTGAACACGTCTCACTTTGCTGTCTCTTTCTCTTTCTTTCTGCTGTGGGAGACAGGGTCAACTGACCACCCCTGGAAAGCAGCAACATCATCCTCCTCCCATCAACCTGCAGGAAACGAGGCTGCTATTGGGCTCTGCAGGTGGGAAAATTTATTTGCTATGTTACGTCCATGTAAGAAAAGTGAAGTGCTCAGGTATGGGCTTGTCTCCCGAAGTGTAAGTCTGCCTTTTTACAGCACAGTATGTTTTCTTTATATGTCCTTCCAATTTGCTGTTAATGTGCAAAAGTGTCCTGGACAGTTTCATAGGAGAGTCTAGACATGGGATATCACCAAGTGTTCGGCCATTCAGGACTAAGATCAGGACAGATTCCTTCATATAGAATACTGTGAATCTTTGAAATAGATGCTCAGATGTTGAGTGTACTTGAAACGGATAGATTTCTGAGCAGATTGGAGATAATATGGGAAGGTGGAATAGAGAGAGAGTTCAGCCATGAACGTTTTTTATTTGTTCATTGTATGTGAGTGTCACCAGCTGGACCAGCATTTACTGCCCCTCCCTAATTGCCCAGAGTCAAACACTTTGCAGTGGGTCTGGAGTCAGGTACAGGCCAGACCGGGTAAGATTGCCAGAATTCCTTCCCAAAAGCAAACAAGATGATTAAATATGACAAAGGTCTCCATTAGGCTAGTCTTTTATTCCAGATTTATTTCTAATTAAATTCAAATTTCACTATCAGCCATGGTGGGATTTGGACCCAACACTATCGCTGCCTCCCTGGCACAAATGGGAGAGCAGGCTCAATTGGCTGAATGGGTTATTTCTGCCCTAATTTCTTGGGCGCATTGTAATCAGGCAGAAACTCGGCACTGACCCACATAAAGGCACATTAGAACAGGGAACCAAAAGCTTTTAAGAAGTGTCTTAAAGGAGAAGAGGAAAGCAGAGAGGTTTAAAAATGGAAGCCCAGGCAGTTGCAGGTACAGTCACCAATGAAGGAGTAGTGGGAAGTCAGAGGTGAGCAAGTGTCTAGAAGTGGACGGGATGCAGAAATCTCAGAAGGTAATTGCAGGGCAACAGAAGGTTACAGAGGTCGGAAGGGGCATGGCCAATGTCAGTGACGTCTGGAGGATAATTGTACAAATCAGAGTTTGTCAAAGAGTGCATGCTTATACCATAAGAAGCACAGTCACTAGCAGACAGCTCAGAATTCTGAGAGATTGTGTCTTGCTTGCCTTGGCTGTGCAGTTTTGAAATGGTCAACTCCAATCCAGGCAATTTTGTACGTCATGTAGCAAACTAATCCATAGCTTTGAAGGGCAGTGTAGATCAGTCTCAATACAACTCCTCTTGCTAATTCTGCACATTTTATTGCAACATTTAAACCAGATCCATTTTGCTATTAGTCTGGATGAATTGCTCTTTTATTTTATTTTGAAGAAACTCACTGCAGGAGTAAATGTGTTTAATGGAAAATGATTGACATCTCCAAATGTATGCGAATGTTTAAAAAAATGACATTGCCTCATTGACTTTTTTTGGGTACTTAATTTTTTCACAGGATGTGGGGATCGCAGGCAAGGCCAGTGTGTGTGTTGTCCATCCATAATTGTTCTTAACTGCTTTCATTAACTTGGTTTCAATAGCCTCTTCCCATTTAGCATTCCATGTCCGAAACGCATTGCCTGACAAACACGCTTGTTTTATGCTGTTGTTCTAGTTCCCATACCGGTGTCCTGCTGTGGTTCTCTGCAGTCGCCTGCCAACTTGCCTGCTGGGGAAAGGCCACCAATAAGCGCTTATGCCAGAGGCTGCTGTTGGCCCCTCCGCAGCTTCCCAGTGTCACAGTGTTGAGGTTCTGACAGGGCAGGTGTGAAGGCAGCTTGCTGGCTGTTGAAGTTTCTAATCTCAATTCTATGCACATCGAGCACAAATCATCCTTGTGCAAGACATTAGGAGGATCTTATATAATACAGCACAGAAGGGAGCCATTTGCTCTTTCTTGGCTGCACCAGCTCTTTGAAAGAATTTGTTTTCCTATCTTCCTTAACATGTGACTGCAGCCTGAGCAATGGGAGGTGACAGGAATTTAATTATAGACACTTAAGACCACCTCGACCAGCTCTGGGCTTTGGGAGTCCAGTTTCAGATGGAAAATGCTGGATCTGTCCTGCGACAGTCTGACAGTCTCTACACCTTCTCAAGGAGAACAGCCCCAGCATCTCCTACAACATCCTTATAACTGATGTCCTTCATCCCTGTAACCAGTTTCACAAATGTTTTGCACACCCTCTCGAAAGGTTTCACACCCTTCCTGAGCTGTGGTGCTCCAGTTTAGTCTGAACCAGTTTTATAAAGGTTCATCAGAACTATCATCCCCTTCAGCTTCTATGCCCCTTAAGAACATAGGAAATAGGAGGAGGAGGCTATTGGGTCCTTCAAATCCATGAGATTCAATAGATCTATCTCAACTCCATTATCCTATACTCTCCCATATACATTGATGATTGAATATCCATTGGTGACTTCAAAATATCTACATACTTCGATTTCACTGTTTCTCACATCAATGAAAATGTGCCTTTTGAGTGAATGATGTTTTACACTTAGCAATTCTTCTGTGCATTGAATATTTTTATCAGCCGAGCAACAGTGACATTGTCCCGACAAACACTGTCCCACTCACATGTTCCCCAACACAACGGGATTTCCCCTGGATGTGATCACTTTACATCAGTCCTCCAACAACAGCCGCTTCAGAAATAAATGATTAGCTTTTGCCTGAGTCACATTCCCTCGTTCCTGGGAGCTATTAAAATGTTGACTGAACAAGGCTCCTGTAACACTGATTGCCTTCCAGTACTGGAACCAGGCCAATGATTAAATCGCACAGAATTTCCTTGCAGCTGTGATGCCACTCTGGCGACCACCATCTAATGTGGCATCACAGGACCAATATTAGCAAATCATCTCCAAACAGAGATGTTCAAAATAGCCTCACTGCAACTTGCGAATCTCAGCTCTGTTGGTGCATTGAGTTGTCAGTGTTAGACAAACACACAAGCTGCCAGAGCTCCAGTTTTACCCAAAACATCATTAAAAGCATGCTTGATCATGAGAGCTTCACCCACCTATCAATCCCAAGGGGGAACTGCCTTTGGTGAATTTTTATAACTTAGTGAAAAGAGAAACGTATTGTTGAAGATTTTTGTCGTGTGCTCCTCAGGAGTCACACAAGAATGCCAAATTTCAAGTGATCACAACAATTTATGATATAAGCGTAAAGGGAACTGATTGGTTAGCAGGTGAACGCTGATTAGCCATGGTGAAAGCAACAGAGACCCATAGGCTCCCAAGCATCTAGGCAACTCAAAAAAAGGAACAAGGCTTTATCTGAGATAACAAGCTGTAGAGCTGGATGAACACAGCAGGTCAGGCAGCATCAGAGGAGCAGGAAAGCTGACGTTTCGGGTTTGGACCCTTCTTCAGAAAAAAAAGGCTTTATCTCATCTCTTTGGTTGCAGAGAACAAGTCACTGTGCACGAATGTCAGTCGCCTCCGGCAAGTGTAAATGAGCCACATTATGAGATTGTCTTAAACTGTTTATTATTGCACTTAGGGTGGTTCTGCAAGAGCTGCCCAGTTGAGGAGGTACAGCAAACAGCAGACATTTTGCTTCAGCAACCTACCTCTCAGTAATGTCCAGGCTCTATACTACCAACGATTTATTGCATCCTTAATCTTACCTTTTCCCACTTTCCTTCATTTCTGGCTGTGGGAGCTTTTGGGGAATGGGACTAAGCAGATAGCTCTTACATAGGACAGCTATGTACAGGACAGGATAGCTGGACAGACTCAATAGACTGTATAGCCTCCCTCAGTACAAGTGTTATCCTTTTAATGGTTCTTGAACTATAAGTATCACTCACAAGGCTGGCATTTAATGCTCACTCTTAAATGGCCTTGAGAAGACGGTGGCGAGCCACTTTCTTGACCCAATGCTGACCCAAATGATGTAGGTACACTTACAGAGCTTCATTTTGCAGCAGTTTGATATAACTGCATGGCTTGCCAGGTCACTGCAGAGGGAAGTTAACAGTCAGCCACATTGCCGTGAGTCTGGAGTCACAGGCAGGCCAGACTGGGTATGAATGGCAGATTTCCTCCCTTGAAGCACATGACTGTTTCAGGCAGGTTTTTACAACAACCTGGCAGTATCTATGCAATTCACCTGCAAACTACTCGCTCTGCACTGAAAGCCAGCTGGTTTGCTCAATCTAGACCATCAGTATCTGCCTTAAATTCCTGGCAGCAGACTGTATACTGAAATGCAAGAGCAAATGTTACCTAAGAATGTTCCGTCTGGGCAATTCTGAATCATTTCATGCAACACCGGTTCTCTGAGATGAGAAATACTCAGACATTGTACCAATCCTGGCAAACTCCACAGGAGTCTTTATTGATTTCAGAGTCAAGTCAGAATGAGAGCAGTGACAGACTGGAATCTCATCCTTAGATACAAATAGGTAGGTTGGGGATGATGAGCCCTAAGTATTATACAATCATCTAGTTCAAAGGATGCCATTTGACCTATCACACCTGTGCTATCTCTTTGAAAGAGCTATTCGTCCCATTTCCCTGCTCTTCCCTCATAGCTCTGCAAATATTTCCTTTCCAGGTTTAAATCCAATTGAAAGTTCCAAATAAATCTGCTCCATCACCCTTTCAAATTGACCAGAAAGTGTACAATGTTAAAAAAATTCTAAATTTGACCCTGAATTTTTTTTTTGCCAATTATCTTCCCTTCTGCCCTTCTGCCACTGGAAGCAGTTTCCTCAGAGCTATTTCATTAAAACCCTTCATAATTCAATCTCTCTGCGACATATTCTGCTCAAAGACGAATCACCCTGGTTTGGAGTTTGTCCTGAGAACTGAAGTCTTTAATCCCTTCTTCCTTGCTCTATCTTTAAAGTTTAGACTTGATTCCTAAAGTGAGGTGTGCAAACCTGGACACATACTCCACCTCAAGATTACCCAGTTTTTACAAAGGTTTAGCATAACTTTCTTGCTCTTGTATTCAATAGCACCCAAGATTTTTATTTGCTCTGCTAACAGCTTCCTCAACTTGTCCTGTTGC